AGATATATACTGTATATATATATCTATATATAGATATATATATATATACACACACACTATATTACCAAAAGTATTGGGACGCCGGCATTTACATGCACATGAATTTTAATGGCATCCCAGTCTTAGTCCATAGGGTTCAGTATTGAGTTGGCTCCACCCTTTGCCGCTATAACAGCTTCAACTCTTCTGGAAAGGCGTCCACAAGGTTTAGGATGGTGTCTATGGGAATGTTGGACCATTTGTGAGGTCAGGTACTGATGTTGGAGCAGAAGGCTGGGCTCGCAGTCTCCGCTCTAATTCATCCCAAAGGTGTTCTATCGGGTTGAGGTCAGGACTCTGCAGGCCAGTCAAGTTCCTCCACCCCAAACTCGCTCATCCATGTCTTTATGGACCTTGCTTTGTGCACTGGTGCGCAGTCATGTTGAAACAGGAAGGGGCCATCCCCAAACTGTTCCCACAAAGTTGGGAGTATGAAATTGTCCATAATGTCTTGGTATGCTGATGCCTTAAGAGTCCCTTCACTGGAACTAAGGGGCCAAGCCCAACCCCTGAAAAACAACCCCACATCATAATCCCCCCTCCGCCAAACTTTACTATTGAGGTTGTCGTCTTGTTAATCTTCCTCTTACACCATCGCAGTTTGCCTTGTTTGCTCTTTACAAAGTATACTCTAAAAGAGTAAAAGTAGTACACACAATGCTTTGAATTTTGAATTTTATTTATTATTTAGTTATTTACATTTTTGTTGCTGTTCGAAATTAATATAAGCTGTTGCAGCAGGAAACAGAAACACAGAGGCAGTTCAAGGATACATTTCTACTTTATTGAGACATCAGTCTTTGTACAAGAGGCTCCGGGCCGGTGTAATGAGCAGTCGGAGTGGCTCAGCTGCTCTCGCAGAAGAAGGTGTTGCAGGCCACGGTCAGAGAGGCCACCAAGATGACAAACTCCTGAAAGTCCACCTCTCCATCTCCGTTCTCGTCCAGTTCCTTCAGGATCTTGTCCACGGAGGTGGCGTCTTTCTGCTCCTAGAGAAGGAAGATAAAGGTTTAATCAACCATCGGTTTCTATCTCCATTAGTTCCTGCCTGCTACAAGAACTAAAGATTTATTTCTACAAGAAAGAAAAAAGGGTTCCAAAAGATTGAAAAGGTCGAGGCTTTTGTCGGACATTCTTTCCTACATATTGTGTTGGGTTTTTCTCTTGGTAATTGGTTTTCAAGATTTGTTTTCCTATCCAAATCCGAGTATATTTTTGTAGACAATTTTTGTAGACCTCAGCTACCATCAAGAAGACTTCCAAAAGGGTTTCCCAATCATCAATTTGACTCAAAGATTGTGTGTGGCTTTGCAGAGAAAGCTCATAAACGAAATATCTGTAGTAGAGTTAAAGGAATCACCTAAACTACAAACTTTCCACATTAAACTCAATATCCCAAATTATTCTGCAGCTGAACATGTCCCATCCTATTGCGTCTTACCTCAAGATACTCTGCAAGCTCGTTCTGTAGAAGATCCTTCAGTTCCTTCTTGCTCAACTTGTGCTTGTCACCTTCCCGGGCGGAATATGTGTGGAAGACTTCAATAAGTGTTTCCATGGCCTTTTCCAGTTGTGACATCTTTGGATGGCTAGGTCAGCGGACAAATGGAGGAGTGAAAAGGTTGGTTGGGTGCACCACCAAAAAGCTGGAAGCTCGAAGTTCTGATTGTGGTTGATTATCTGGAAATGATAGAGTGAAAGATATATTTAATTCAAAAGGAGAGGTACGAACATCCCAACATCAGAACAAGCTGGTTGATGAGATTCTGTGATGAAGCAGGAAAAGGAGACATGATTGTGATCTTGTCAGGGGAATTAGAGAGGGTTGTTTTGGTGGGTAGTGTTTTGTAAAGACGGATCGAGTTAAGAACATTGACACTTCAGATGCAGTTTACTATCCAAGCTGGGAACATTGTTTCCAACAACTGGGAATATAGGATAATGAGTCATTGTGGTAGGACAATAGAAAAGAAATATGAAAACTGGGGTACAAAACAAAGAATTAAATAAGTTTGCTCCAGGAAGTTGAATAGGTTGATTGGTATGATTTTACATCCAAAGGCTTTAATTTTTATTGGTATTTGAAAGTGAATGAGTAGAAGACATGTTTTAAGAGAATGGGGAGTTGTACAAAGTACCTAAAAACAGGGCAGGTAGGACTATTAGGGAGGTGGAAAGACTGAGGTGAGGTATTTATTTGAGGTTACAAAGGGGGGAAGGCAGAAATATTTTTTGCCAAACATAATGAGTTGGATAGACGGGCTGATGGACCCAACAACTGGATGGATAGAAGATGAAAAGGCTCACAGAGGAAAGCATAGGAATAGGGAAGGATAGAAACCTTTTTCAATGGACAATATAAGAGTATAGATTAATTGATGGACTGATGGAGAGTTCTATGACCGTACTATCACAGAGCAGACATTCAGAGCTACAATTGTACATGTTTCTCAAAGAACGACTTACTAGATGGCCAAACTTTTAGCAAAAGGTTAAACAAAAAACTCAACAACTAGACACGTAGGTTAAGTAGCTATTTTTTCATTTACATAGATTAATAAATAACGTAGCATATGTTACTTGGGGGCAAGAGAAGAAAAGGGAATGACTTTTGCTCCATGGAAATATAGACTGATGGACAGCTGGGTGTATGTATGGGGAAAGAGTAGATACTGGAAGTCCTATCTGTGACTATCAAGCTAGAGTTGACGTAGAAGTCATGGGGAAAAGCCTAAGATTCCAGTAACTAGACATCTAGGTAGAAAGTTATGGTTTTATATGTATAGAGATTAAATCTAGGGGACCTGTTATACAATGTTGAACACAACTTGTCCAAGTGGCTTTCTCAATTTATACCCACATGGGCAACTCAGCCACCTTGATCCAATCATCATGGGGTCATGAATGTGTCATGGTGGTTGGATTAAGCCAATTACAATAAGGCATTTTAACTTTTCACACCTCCCGTCGTGTTCTTGAACAATCACAATCAGCCTTTTGCCCGTGTAGGTTTAAATGCTGGGGTATATGCTGAACACTCTTTGAGGAAGCCACTTGGATGAGCAGTGCAAAATCTTAAACATCACAAAACAAGTGGAATGTGACTAACTACTAGTAGTAATACCATGGCCTGGGTGATAAATAAGAACCTTCAAAGACAAAGCTTGGTGTTACGGGAGAACAAAAGGACAATTGGACAAGCATAGTATGATGCACTCCTTTGAATTGAGCAAGCCACTTGGATGCAACATCTTCAACATTACAAACACAAGTCCAGGGGAATGTGGCTGTTACTAGCTATACCATGGCCTGGATGATAAATGAGATCCTTCACAAAGTTTGGTGTTAAGGGAGATCGAGGACTATTGGAGAAGCATAACATGATTGATCAATAGGTCGGACAGATTAAAAACTGGATGGATGGTCAGATAATGAGTAGAAGTTCTGAGCACCAGTTGTGGTTGGCTGTCTACAAGTTGGGGATGGAAAACGGAATGGAAGGGAGATCGAGGACTATTGGAGAAGCATAACATGATGGATCAATAGGTGGACGGACAGATGAAAAACTGGATGGAAGGGAGATCGAGGACTATTGGAGAAGCATAACATGATGGATCAATAGGTGGACAGACAGATAAAAAACTGAATGGAAGGGAGATCGAGGGCTATTGGAGAAGCATACCATGATGGATCAATAGGTGGACGGACAGATGAAAAACTGTATGGATGGTCAGATAATGAGTAGAAGTTCTGAACACCAGTTGTGGTTGACTGTCTACAAGTAAAGACCTAACATATATGAGGAACCCAAACAAAGACACATAAGATCTGCTATCTACATGGGGAAAATAAAAAAAAAGAGGACAAACACATTTGGTGTTAGACAGAAAAGAAGACCTTCAGATAATTATTTTGGCAGTAGGAATATTTATCGGCACTGATGGCTTTCAGTGTTTGGACTCACCAGACTGGTTCCAGTGGCCGTTCCTCTGTAGAAGCTGGTGATGACTGCTCACCTTTGGTCTGCTCTGCCGCAGGTCTCCTTTTCATCTTTTCCCCCGGTGTATCTGTTACATCCCAAACAATGCGGTCTGTTCCTCTCGGGTGTCACCATTCTCATTTCCATACCATCATTGTGGACTTCTGGCGCATCACCCAGGAGACCTCGGAAACCGGACTCCCCATATGAAGAGAACCTTCTGAGATGCCAGTCACCTGATGTTAATGAGTCGTGTCTTGTGTTAGGGATCTACTCCGTATCGCTATCAGCTGGCCTTACGCACAGTCCCCGATTGAGCGACCGGTTTACATAACAGCGAGCGTGCTGGGAAATGGCTCGCTACGTGGACAATCGTATTACGGAATATGGGTAATTAGGTTTATACACAACCCAAGGATATCTAATGAGTCACAAATCTGTGGCCAATGAAATCTGGTTTATCGTTGCATGATTTATCAAGTGATCACATTTAAACAGACCCTTAAATCCAAACAGCAGGTCCTTGTAATGGAGGAACCATAATACCGTACTCACTTCTCTGGTGGCCCTGGTACCCTACCATTCCTCGGTTCTACCTCTGCAGTCACATTGTGACACCTTCAACACTTCCAGGAGTGTCAGATGCCTTATTTTACGCATGTTTGAGCGCCCATTGACCCCACAGAAACGGAGGGTGTGGGTACCTTCGGGGCCGGCCCTGATGTTAGGAGGTAGGCTCCGTGGCCTCTATGGGTTTCTCTGCCCCCTCCACTTTTATGGGTCTCTCTTCGGGAGAGCCCCTACCTTGTACTCGTGGGACCTGTTTCGGCAGGGCCCTGAGGATCGGGGTCTGCCTGGCTTCGGCTAGGTGGACTTGGGTTTACCTTGCCCCTGTCAGGAGCCTTGCGCCCTGGGGGGGGGGGTTCAGGGTTTTCGAGGCCCTTACTCTTCGGAGGAAGACCAAAGCACCCTTGTGCACTTTTTTCGTGTACTGTGATTTCATGGTTCACAGGGGTGAAGTTGGTCTTCGATGCACGCATCACGGGACCAGGGGCGCAACTCGAAATCACAGGGCCACATAGCAAAATAGCAGAGAGACTATGGTGGGCTCTGCAGGGTCTCAGGTGGGCTGGTCACACCCCTGCACAGCTCTTACCTGTCAGCCCTGATCCGCTGTCAGCCTTCTCCACCTCTGGGCTCCGCCTCCTCTTTGGTTGCCAGTGGGCCCCACCTCCTCCACCGTTGCCGGGCCTTGCCTCCTCCTACACTGCCATGGCCGGGCCCCGCCTCCTCCTATGCTGCCGTCGCAGGGCCCCCGGCATCCTCCATCGCAAGCTGCTGGCTGTCACTGACTCAGCAGCGGCTGTGAGGAGGAATGCACCACTGCACAGATCACTGACAGTGGCGCGTTCCTTCTCACAGCCGCCAGTGACAGCCAGCAGCAGCCTGTGATTCCATAGCGACCCAGGCGGCACGCACAGCATCAGGGGGACCCATTTATTACTCGGCCTGGCCGGGCCCCCTTTTGCCCCGGGCCCCATAGCGGCCACCTGGGTCGGTATGACGATAGTTCCACCACTGCACGGGACTTTAAAAAAAAAAGGGAGTGTCAGAAGCCTGTGTCCCCCACTGCATGCTATGGATCCCTGCCCAGATCCCTATGTCACTACAGGGCTCAGCAATGATGTAGAGGGCAGAATATGGAGCTACAGCACAGGGCGAGGACAGGGGCATCCAACACTCCCTGAAGTATTGAATACTGAAGAGTCTATAGCGTTGCCATTTGATTCTATATCAGGGTCACTAATAGCGCTTACGGCATGCTAAAGTGACCATAATATGACCAGAAGGCCACTTTAGCATACCTTAAGCGCACGTTAAGATGCCTGAAGTGTTACTTGACATACAAACTCTAATTTAATTGTGAGTGAAAAAATGAGTCAAACAAGAGCAAAAGTTATCTTCTGTTGTCACCATCAGGAAACCCCACCCTGAGAAACGCCATCGCCGTAGCGCATGTAGACGGGAAGTGGCTACATAGAGGCTGCAGGGGATCAGCAGCACCGAGATGTAACAAAGGATGAATGCAGGTGAACAAAAAATTATTTATTTAAAAAAGAAAATGACAATTATTTATAATACACAGAGCAGGGCGCAAACGAAATGTCATCCAGTTTGCGGTTACATCTACGTAAAAACGATCCAGCATGCTGGAAAATCGTTGTGAATGACATTAGACTTTCACTACTGGTGAATGCTTCTTATAGGGATGCAACAATAATGTTTTTTCGGTATCGAGTACCGATATTTTTTTTCCCGGTACTCACCGATACCGAATACCGATACCGGAAATCCCATTACGGAAGCCAGGCGGCGTGTAATGATTCACCATCCGGCTTCCCGATTAGCCGAGTAATGACGCATTGCCCGGATTCCTGATTGATCGAGAAGCTGGCCAATCAGGAAGCTGGGCAACAGGTCATTACACGCTGCTCGGCTTCCTGATTGGCCAGGAAGCCGGCTCCATGCTCCCTCATAACAAGTGACAAGGGAGCATGGAGCCGGCTTCCCGGCCAATCAGGAAGCCGGGCAGCGTGTAATGACGTGCTGCCCAGCGTCCTGATACCGGAAGCTCAAGTATCGGGCTAGGTATCGGAGCAAATACTCGGCATCGGCACAGATACTGATACCAGTATCGATGCATCCCTAGCTTCTTACCATCATCTCAATTCCAACGTCATTGTTTGTGTACATTGACTGGACCACATTCAGTGGCCGTTGACCTCTGACCTCCAATATCGCGCTGTGATACGTATCTGCGACAGTGCAGCGGACGAGCGGGTAATGTGAGCACTCACCAGCGGGTGGGATCTAACACGCTGAGAATAAAACCGGTCGTTCGCCGCTATAAAAGTTGTACGTATTAAGAAGCGACCAATCAAATGCAACATTGGACCTGTTATCAATAACGTATCGAGACCTGGATGTACCGTTGTAGATTAACGACAGCAGGCGCGCCCTGAGCGCGAAGGTGAACGCAAATGTGATTTATAAATGCATTTTTTTTTTTAAAGGCGCAAAAGGCAGATGACCGTTCGCCAGTTTATAAATGTGCCCTGTCCTCATCGGTCGACCTCCGCCTCCATCAGATTGCGAGCTCTTCGACGCGCCGTCCCTGCTGCGCTCCAGGTGGCGTCTCATGTTCCTGCGGTAATTTGTCCTGGTCTTTTATCTCCGCCGTGCTGACAATACCCTTGTTAATAATTCATATTTAATTTTTAGGTACACGGTCCCGCGGATGCATTATTGATGCCGTGCTACTCTATACGTAGGCTGCGCTGTCTCTGCGCCGCCCCCTGCTGCTTGCTGCCCGCCATTACAGCTGGGAGTCAGGAATCTCCATGGGATGAGTCAGTTACTCCCAGCTATGAAGAGGCTGCAGTGAGCCCAGGGCGCCTCCTCCTCCTCCGCCGCCTTCTCGTGGACACCCCAAACATCCTGTTTTCAGCAGGCCAGGAATGACTTAAAGGGACAGGAGCCTTCTCTAGACCGCAGTGCCTGTAAGTACAAGGCATCAGGTCCTGAAATGTAAGGGACTGTAGCCTCTGATTCGCTGTCTGTGCCTGTTCCTTAATCTGCGTGGCGATCCAGCACACATGGGGTTAAACCGACTGTTATGCAAGTGCCGCGCTGAGGGGTGTAACTGTGTCTGATGGGGCCCCATTGCAAAACGGTTAAGTGGCCCCCTGACACTGTTTACTCTCTCGCTCTCTCCTCTAGTGATATGGAGACCGCAGCCAGTAGTATGACTGCTCAGAGACCGTCCGCTATGGGGGGCTCCTGAGGCTTGGGGCTGTGGTCCTAGCATGGGACCACTCTGTAAAGCTGCATGCTCGTTCTGGGTTAATGACTCGCTAGGTGGTGAAGGATGAGGATGATGGGTCTGGTGCATGCAGTGTTCATCCTGAGGGGTGAGCTGCACTCCGGGGACACATGGGCGTCTAAATGAGGCATTTGGGGTAAAGAGTCGCCGGCTCGGGGAGTGCGAAGAATAGTCATTTTTATTGCTATTCGGGGTGCCGTACTCGTGGCCCTCTACTAGAAGTGTATCAGTGACCCCAACACTCATCCCTTCCCCTACCGGACCCAATAATCCTCAACCATCACTGACCCCAACACTTACCGCTCCCCAGATCTGACCCCAAAACTCATCCCTTCCCCTACCGGACCCCAATAATCCTCAACCATCACTGACCCCAACACTTAACATTCTCCAGATCTGACCCCAACACTCATCCCTTCCCCTACTGGACCCCAATAATCCTCAACCATCACTGACCCTAACACTTAACCCTCTCCAGATCTGACCCCCAACACTCATCCCTTTCCCTACCGGACCCCAATAATCCTCAACCATCACTGACCCCAACACTTAAACCTCTCCAGATCTGACCCCAACACTTAACATTCTCCAGATCTGACCCCAACACTCATCTTTTCTCCTACTGGACCCCAATAATCCTCAACCATCACTGACCCCAACATTTAACCCTCTCCAGATCTGACCCCAACACTTAACATTTCCCAGATCTGACCCCAACACTCATCCCTTCCCCTACCGGACCCCAATAATCCTCAACCATCACTGACCCCAACATTTAACCCTCTCCAGATCTGACCCCAACACTTAACATTCTCCAGATCTGACCCCAACACTCATCTCTTCTCCTTCTGGACCCCAATAATCCTCAACCATCACTGACCCCAACATTTAACCCTCTCCAGATCTGACCCCAACACTCATCCTTTCCCCTACCGGACCCCAATAATCCTCAACCATCACTGACCCCGACACTTAACCCTCTCCAGATCTGACCCCAACACTCATCCCTTCCCCTACCGGACCCCAATAATCCTCAACCATCACTGACCCCAAAACTTAACCCTTTCCAGATCTGACCCCAACACTTAACATTCTCCAGATCTGACCCCAACACTCATCTCTTCTCCTACTGGACCCCAATAATCCTCAACCATCACTGACCCCAACATTTAACCCTCTCCAGATCTGACCCCAACACTAACATTCTCCAGATCTGACCCCAACACTCATCCCTTCCCCTACCGGACCCAAATAATCCTCAACCATCACTGACCCCGACACTTAACCCTCACCAGATCTGACCCCAACACTCATCCCTTCCCCTACCGGACCCCACTAATCCTCAACCATCACTGACCCTAACACTTAACCCTCCCCAGATCTGACCCCAACACTATACCCTTCATACAACCTGATCACAACACTAAAGGCTGCCACTATTTGACCCCAAGAATCAACCCTCCCTGTAGCTTACCCCAGTGCTCAACCCTTCCCTTACCTGACCCCAAAAATATATTCTCAACCCTAACTGACCCAACACTCAACTCTTCCCCTACCTGACCCCAACATTCAACACTCACATAAATTGATCCTAACACTCACCTCTCTCCCTATCTGACCCTAGCAATCAGTTCCTCGCCATAACTTACTCTGACACTTAAACTTCTCACTATCTAACCCCATTACTCAACCCTTCTGTCACAGTACTAGGGATGTGAGCCCACAGGAAAGCAGGTGGCACAGGATCCCCCAGGGCGTGGAATCTAAGGGCCAGCCGGTGTGCCCCCAGGGACCCCCTCACAGAAGTTTGGGCTTAGCTGCGTGCTGCCCCCAAGTCACAACCCCCAGGTTCTCCCTGCTTGTGTGGAGAGTACCCAGATACAGTACAGGCAGGGATGGAAGGATGGAGCAAAAGGAGATCCAGTTACTGAGCCAAAGGTCAGGGCAGGCAGCAGACAATCATAATCAGGAGAACTAGCCGAGTCAGTACACAAGAGATCAGTCCACAGTCAGGTCAGCCACAACTGGTGAGGATACTCTCCGCACACCTTTCAGCAGTCCAATAAACAATGTGACCACATCTCTTGCCTTGAGGAAGGGACCCTGCGCGGCCCCGAAACGTCGGCTCTTTTTGATCTTTGTGACACTATTGTCCAATAAAAAGGACTTATTCATTTTAAATACTTGGAGTGCTGGTGACCTATTCTTCCAATCAGGTCAGGCACACAGAAAGGGCTCAGGAATAAGTGTTACTCAAGCAACCAGAAGCTGCTCTGAGATGGATTTAAATAGGGAGAGAGATAGGAGGCAGGACAGGAAGTAGCAGAAAACAAGGTACATTAACCATCAGCTGAAGCAGGCAGCACCCAGAGCTGCTAAGTCAGTGCAGCAAGAGCAGAGCAAGGCTTGTGGAACCACAGGTGCCAGCAGACCCACAGCAAGAACAGGTAAAAAACAAATGCAGAGCAGTGAAGCACAGATCAGCTCTGTGGCACCTTCCCCATCTGACACCACAACTTAACCCTGCCCCTACCTGACCCCAACACTTAGTCCTCACACAACCTGACCCCAGAACTCAGCCCTTTCCCTACCTGACCCCAACACTTAGTCCTCACACAACCTGACCCCGGAACTCAGCCCTTCCCTTACCTGACCCCAACACTTAGTCCTCACACAACCTGACCCCAGAACTCAGCCCTTTCCCTACCTGACCCCAACACTTAGTCCTCACACAACCTGACCCCGGAACTCAGCCCTTCCCTTACCTGACCCCAACACTTAGTCCTCACACAACCTGACCCCTTCAACCATCACTGACCCCAAAACTTAACCCTTTCCAGATCTGACCCCAACACTTAACATTCTCCAGATCTGACCCCAACACTCATCTCTTCTCCTACTGGACCCCAATAATCCTCAACCATCACTGACCCCAACATTTAACCCTCTCCAGATCTGACCCCAACACTAACATTCTCCAGATCTGACCCCAACACTCATCCCTTCCCCTACCGGACCCAAATAATCCTCAACCATCACTGACCCCGACACTTAACCCTCACCAGATCTGACCCCAACACTCATCCCTTCCCCTACCGGACCCCACTAATCCTCAACCATCACTGACCCTAACACTTAACCCTCCCCAGATCTGACCCCAACACTATACCCTTCATACAACCTGATCACAACACTAAAGGCTGCCACTATTTGACCCCAAGAATCAACCCTCCCTGTAGCTTACCCCAGTGCTCAACCCTTCCCTTACCTGACCCCAAAAATATATTCTCAACCCTAACTGACCCAACACTCAACTCTTCCCCTACCTGACCCCAACATTCAACACTCACATAAATTGATCCTAACACTCACCTCTCTCCCTATCTGACCCTAGCAATCAGTTCCTCGCCATAACTTACTCTGACACTTAAACTTCTCACTATCTAACCCCATTACTCAACCCTTCTGTCACAGTACTAGGGATGTGAGCCCACAGGAAAGCAGGTGGCACAGGATCCCCCAGGGCGTGGAATCTAAGGGCCAGCCGGTGTGCCCCCAGGGACCCCCTCACAGAAGTTTGGGCTTAGCTGCGTGCTGCCCCCAAGTCACAACCCCCAGGTTCTCCCTGCTTGTGTGGAGAGTACCCAGATACAGTACAGGCAGGGATGGAAGGATGGAGCAAAAGGAGATCCAGTTACTGAGCCAAAGGTCAGGGCAGGCAGCAGACAATCATAATCAGGAGAACTAGCCGAGTCAGTACACAAGAGATCAGTCCACAGTCAGGTCAGCCACAACTGGTGAGGATACTCTCCGCACACCTTTCAGCAGTCCAATAAACAATGTGACCACATCTCTTGCCTTGAGGAAGGGACCCTGCGCGGCCCCGAAACGTCGGCTCTTTTTGATCTTTGTGACACTATTGTCCAATAAAAAGGACTTATTCATTTTAAATACTTGGAGTGCTGGTGACCTATTCTTCCAATCAGGTCAGGCACACAGAAAGGGCTCAGGAATAAGTGTTACTCAAGCAACCAGAAGCTGCTCTGAGATGGATTTAAATAGGGAGAGAGATAGGAGGCAGGACAGGAAGTAGCAGAAAACAAGGTACATTAACCATCAGCTGAAGCAGGCAGCACCCAGAGCTGCTAAGTCAGTGCAGCAAGAGCAGAGCAAGGCTTGTGGAACCACAGGTGTAAAAGGACTTATTCATTTTAAATACTTGGAGAGCTGGTGACCTATTCTTCCAATCAGGTCAGGCACACAGAAAGGGCTCAGGAATAAGTGTTACTCAAGCAACCAGAAGCTGCTCTGAGATGGATTTAAATAGGGAGAGAGATAGGAGGCAGGACAGGAAGTAGCAGAAAACAAGGTACATTAACCATCAGCTGAAGCAGGCAGCACCCAGAGCTGCTAAGTCAGTGCAGCAAGAGCAGAGCAAGGCTTGTGGAACCACAGGTGCCAGCAGACCCACAGCAAGAACAGGTAAAAAACAAATGCAGAGCAGTGAAGCACAGATCAGCTCTGTGGCACCTTCCCCATCTGACACCACAACTTAACCCTGCCCCTACCTGACCCCAACACTTAGTCCTCACACAACCTGACCCCAGAACTCAGCCCTTTCCCTACCTGACCCCAACACTTAGTCCTCACACAACCTGACCCCGGAACTCAGCCCTT